CCACTGATCATTTTATAGAACTCCTCGTTTTTACTTTCACTTACCTATATATATAATATATAGTAAGTATAAGTATTGCGATCGTGAAAATTTTCAAATCTGAGTTTTCAACGGAAATACACGTTTTGCGGTCCCCTGAGTCCAAATAACCAAGTCACGAAAAATGTTCTGTGTGTATGTGAACACTCTAGCTCGAAACCGAAAAGTCGTACGAAACTGATATTATATATTTAAGATGGATATATGCCTTAGATGTCCTGGTAACTTTTTCCTTAAAATCGGCTAACCGGAAGTGCCACTTTAAATCAACGCTGAAACACATTTTTACAATTTTCTCAAAAACAGCTCTTAACGATTTTGATTAAACTCAGTGTATCATTGTATAATTAAATGGTCTTTAATATCATTTAGGTCTTATTAACATTGATGTCACTTTACAGGGCTTAAATGCTCAATGTTCATAAGCGTCTTCCTCTAAAGTAACTTTAATATGATTTATTTTAAATAATCAACTATCTCTCATTATTAAAAGTTACAAAAAATTGCTAAATATAACTTTTTAAAGAATTTGATAATTGAATAAAGGAGAAAAAAATAAAAATGCTTATACCGGTCAAAAATAAATCTCCTGAAATACAAGTCAGAAGGTATACTTATAATATATCGTTGGAAAGCGGAGAATTTTAGAAAAAAAACTATCTAATATAGAAAGTTGTAGAAGGTAACAGGGAGTGGTAAAAAAATTATAAAAAATAATTTTTGAAAACTGATAATATTTAACATAAATCACATGTTTTCAAGGAAATTAAATGTAATTTACTAACTAAATGTAAACTTGAAAACATATTTTTACGTACTTGTAGAAAGTATTTAAAATCCACCTAATCAAGGCAATGCCATTGTTAAAAAAACTATTTCATTGTACTTCTGTGAAAGAAGTAAAATATAAAATCGTTTCATGGATGTATATAGTCTAACCTTATAATTATAACCTTAAATACATTTAATGTAGTTTAGTGATTATAGATCTGATATTATATTTAAATATTTAGGTATCTATTGTCTATGTAGGTATCTATGTAAACTTTCAGAAAATTAAATTAGTGAATAATTTGATAAATTGCCCTTTGCGATAGTCCAACAGAATCCACTTACAATTAGTATGACAACTTTTGACCTGTCTATGACAGACCATACAAATCTCTTAATTCCGTTTTAATAAACTTTCCAATGGAAAATAACTGTTTAAGAACGAATAGTCGTACAATCCATAATCAACAGATCGAATAATCCATAATCAACGAATCGTACAATCCATAATCAACCAGTCATAATAAAAATGACTTTTGTTGTTTTAATAGTATTTATGATTTGTTTGCTGCAATCTTTTAGCTTTAGCTCAGTTAAAAATGCAATTCCAAAATTTTATAATAGCCCAATATGGCCAGAAAATAATTTCTATTCAAAGTTGAGCAAAGTTCAAAGTGTAACTGAAAGTTGTGTGCTGCGCACACCAGATTTTTACATATGAACAAATTGTTCTCGCTGCATAGGTTAACACCTGTGTGTAATTTGAGATTTTTTAATTTCAGTGTATGGTTCTATTTTATCCCAGTTTCTTTCAATTATTTGTATTACTTCTTTCATGTTGATATTTGTGGATAAGTTCTCCAAATCAAAACTGACTAAGCAATATTTGTTATCCATTTTTTTTCTTCTAAGATTACTTTGACCTCCTCTAGGATTACTTTGAGTTTTTAACATCATATTAATTGTCAGATTTTAGGTTGAGTGTGGAATTAAGATATTTTGATAATCTCTCAATGACTCCAGTAATATTACTAACAACGTGCCTCAGTGGAGCACCATTTTTGTGTATAATTGTAACTTGACTTAAATGATGTAACTTGAGTTAAATGATTGTAACTTTACAATCCCATGTATCTTTGGGGTGATATAGTTGGGATTAATTAATTTTATTATTTAATGAAATTATTCTTTATTAATTTATCAATATATTTATCAATGGCTTTATAAACATTTTTAGAGGGGCCACATCGAATTTTCTTATACATTAGATCATTGGTTAACAAATTCTTCATTTTATTATCATAATTGGGAGAGACAAGTAATAGGGTTAATTCAGAATGGTTCGATGAAGAATGTGCAAATGCAATTGCACGAAAGAATGCCTATAGGATGAAGGTGCTTCAACAGGATACCAGGAGTAACAGAGATAGATATATGGTTAGTAGGAAGAAAACAAATAAGATCTGTAGAAGGAAAAATATGGAATGGCTGAGGAAAAGGATCGAAAATATGGAAGAAATGTAGGAATATAGGAAGGAAAGAAATTTTTATCAGGGAGTCAAAAAAATGAAAAATGGTTTTAGACCCAAAATGAATGTTTGTCGTAGTAAGGATGGTGTACTGTTGAGAGAGGGTGCGCAAGTGATGAATAGATGCTCACAATATTTTAGAGAGATATTAAATGACAGCGTAAACGAAAATGACAATGTGAACATCAATAATGCCTGTGAGCCGGATACGAAAGTTGATCCTGATATTGAACCACCTTCCTTTGAGGATGGAGAGGATAGTATATCGGTAGAAATTATTAAGTGTATTGGAGATTTTTTTCCGACAGAGATTATATAATCTGATGCTGAGGGTATGGTGGGCTGGAATGGTGCTCAGGTTTAATTTTCCCAATATTCAAAAAACGTGATAAAATTAGTGTTGTAAAAACAAGCCTCGACTAAAAAAGTCGTGAAGACTCGACTCGGCTCTAGAGCCTTTAAACCTCAAACCTCAAAAGTTCAAGGTTACTTTCCCCCTCTGAATTTTTTTGTGAAGTTAAAATGGTAATATGTTTGGCTAGATAGATGATACTTTTTAAACTTTAATTTTATTTTATTTTTGGGGAGTGGAAGAGAATTACCACCCTCCCCTATGTTCCCTTTCTCTCTCCTGAATTTTTTTAAAGAATGGTATGTTGGCAATATGTTTCATCTATCCAAACTTTTTTTTCCTTTTAATTTTTTTGTGGGAGGAGAGAATCTCATCAACAAGAGGGAGGGAACCAATAAGTGCAGAGCAACAACAAACCGAACTTTGTTTCAGTTGAAACTATATTTCAAGGAACTGCCAAAGATGTAATACTACTGACAAGCATCATGTACAACATTTTACTCTATTATAAAAATTGTAAAACAATTTCAAAAGTCCATTAACAAACATGGTGAAAAAAAGTAAGGTTCGATCCGTGATTCGGGCCTTTTACTGGCGAGCTTTTATGACTCGGGTCTTGGCCAACCCAGGAAAGCTCGATCCTTTTCTGCTCAAGCCTTATTGCCTTCTCACCCAGCTTTTTTATAACACTAGATAAAATGGTATGTGAAAACTACCGGAGAATAACTCTTTTAAATGTCGCATATAAAATTTTATCCAACCTTCTGGTACAAAGACTAAAAATGTATTAAAAAAGAATCATAACAGATTACCAGTGTGTTTTTCAGCCTAACAGAGGTACTAGCAATCAGATTTTTATTTTATGACAAATGCTCGAAAAGTGTTATGAGCACGATATTGATGAACATATACTATTTATAGATTTTAAACAAGCTTTTGACCGAATTAAAAGAACCCAACTTTTTAGTGTATTGTGTGAATATAATATCCTGTATAAAATAATCCATCTAATTGAAATGACTGTGCTGAACACACAAGGGAAAGTGCTAATTGGCAAAATCTTTCAATTTAATTCTGGAGTAAGGAAGGAAGATGCACTCTCAGCAATTCTATTTAACTTGGCGCTACATAATGCAGTTAAAGGGATCACACAAGGTGGTAATTTAGCATACTGAACAAGGCAAATGTTGAACAACATTGCGATTATTGGTAGAAGTAAAGTGGCAATAGTTAACGACTCAAAAACAAAGTATATGGTAGTCTCGACCTCGGATTCAAGAAGGAAGCCAGGTTTTGTTTTCCAGGAATGCATTTTTGAAGCAGTGGATAGTTTCACGTACCTTGGGGCGCAAGTCAACAGCGAAAACTTGATTAGCCCAGAAATAAGAGAAAGAATCATGGCAGGTAATAGAGTGTACTTTGGTATGCTAAAGCTTTTTAAATCGACACTCCTATCCAGAGTCACAAAACTCAAAGTATACAAATCCTTCGTTCGATCAGTTGTGTGCTATGGAGCCGAAGATCATCGTTGAAAGTAGCTGACCAGAAGGCACTAAGGATTTTTGAAAGAAAAATCATGAGACAAATGTTTTCTCTCCTATGCATACAAGGTGAATGAAGGATAAGGACAAATCAGGAGCTGGATGAAATGTTGAAGCACGAGGATATTGTACGCTTTATTAAAGCTAGAAGAATTAGTTGGGTAGGACACGTGGAAAGACTGCCAGATGACGAAGCAACGAAGAAGATACTGAGGGAAGAATTTCCCAGAAAAAGGAAAAGAGGACGACCGAGAAAATGTTGGAAAAGTGACGTGGAAGAGGATTTTAAGAGAATGGAAATGGTAAATTGGAGGATAAGAATGAAGGATAGGGAAGGTTGGGAAAAGATCGTGAAGAAAGCAAAGGTCCACCTTGGACTGTAGAGCCTGTCAATAAAGTAAAGTAAAGTATTTATTTTGTTATTAATTCTATCATTATGGTAAAATAAGATGTTTTTAACATTTTCTTCTTAATGCTTTTTAATGCGCTCAATTAAAATTTTGTCATATGAGATATTTTTAAAAACCATCTTATCCATTTCATTTCTGATGTGCAATTTCCAGTGGATTTGTTTAAAAGATGACTGACATCACTATCATATTATGTTAAATGTTGTTTTATGCACTGATTGTGTATGGTCTTTATCTTTTGTAATTTTCTATTGTGTTGGATTGTTTTCAATGAAATCTCATTATTCATAATTATTTATTTAAAAATTTCATAAATTTTGCCCTGAATCATGGTGTATATATGCTTTTACTTTTTCAGCTGTTGTGGAGTTTTCTGGTCACCAAGGAGGAATTAGGCATGTTAATTATTGTGAGAATGACCAGAGACTCGTCTCTTGCTCAGATGATAAGACGTTAAGGGTTTGGGATATTTCTTCCGGAAAGGTATTTGTTTTTATTGTTGCTAAAAGATGTTTACATTTATAGATTATATTGGTATTGTTGCTAAGCATTAATTAAAAAAATTTAATTAAAAAATTAATTTTTACTCATGATTCATCCAAGTTTAATTTTTTTTTCCTTGGAATTTATTAACTGTTTTGTCTTACCTTATCTTGTATGTTTATAAATCATGATCATTATTCAGGATTGTTAGTGGTTTCAGTCCTGAACTTTCTGGTTCGCTGTTACGTTTATTTGTTCATTTATGAAAGATAGCTTTACTTTTCATCCTATTTTTGTGAACAATCTTTATGTAATCTTATTTTTGATACCTCTCTGGTGTTACTTTTAAATGTTTTCTTTATTGTAGGAAGTGCATAAATTAGATTTTGAAAGTACACCAAGTAGCTTAGAAGTGTCTCAAGATGGTAGAATCTTCACTGTTGCTGCTGGAAGCATTGTCAGTTTCTGGGACGCTCAAAGGTACCTCTTGCCTATCACTTTAATCATTTTAGGTTGTTAATTTATCAACAAGCTGTAATTTCAATTTTTTTTGTTTATATTCATTTGTAGCCTGAAACTACTCAAAGAATACAGAGTACCAACTCAAGCTAACTCTGCATCACTACATCCTGATAAGGGTATATTTGTCTGTGGAGGAGATGATCTGAAGATGTACAAGTTTGATTTTGCAACTGGTACTGAAATCGGTAAGGCTAACTATTAGTTTTTTTATTTTATGTGTATGAAATAGCACTTGTATAGAAAAGAGCTAGGAAAGTCATTATTAAAGATAATTTAATTATGTGTATATATATATATATATATATATATATATATATATATATATATATATATATATATATAGTCTTTTGTGGGCGTTACAGACCATGAAGATCTTTGGCTGCGAGATGTAGTCTCCTAGGCCGCACCCCGATTCCCGATTTAAGTAAACGTGATAGGGTCATCAATCCTACGTCCGGTCAGTGTGAGTCACCTCCATACCTGGAGGTGGGAGGGAGGATTTCGGGTAGCGTGGCTTTCACTGGCGGACGGTCACCAAAATCGGTCATCCATCCAAGTCCTAACCACGCTCGGCATTGCTTAACATTGATTACCTGTTGCATGCGCCTTAGCCGCATGGCTATCCCAGCCCCCACACACATATATATATATTATTTTTTTTCTCCTTGCTTGCATTTTAGGCTTTGTGGAGTTTTTCCCCGGTCAGGGGAGAGGGTATAGTATTAATTCTAGAGCTAAAACTCCCCTGACCCAGAATAGGTAATTCTTTTATCATTAAAACTTCGGTTTATCAGGTGTTCGGGAAATAGGCTACTCTGCCACCCTGTCCCTATGCATTTGTATAAAATCACTAGATTTGTTTTCAGGAAAATGAAAAAAAAAAAATGTAAAATTTATGTTATAAAATGGAACATCAGGAAGTTAACATCATATATCTACCTAGCGTCTTCAGTTTGTGGATTTAATGTATACTTTAATAACGTTTTATTCCAAGAACCCAATCCTAAATCCGAATGGACAATCCTTAAGAACCTCTGTTAGCTCGAAAACATGCACACAATATCTAGTCGATCCGAACAAGCCAAATTTCTTTTTCACTAACCATTTTCTATCCACATTTTTATCTGACCGCTCATTTTTTTCTATCACTGAAACCCAGTTCGGTCATGAGTTATATTTTCTTGATATCTCTCCTACTGACCTACTCTGCCACCCTCCATCTAAAACAAACAATTATAGTCCTGACCAAATACTTGTTAAAGTTATCAAACTCTGCCTTCCAACCTTACTTTCCCCACTTCTACACATATATAATTTCTCTCTCTCCAAAATTTCAAAATCCTGGAAAAAAGCTACAATTCATCCATTGAAAAAAGGTTCCTGTTCCTCCATCAGCTTCCAACTTCAGACCCTTTTTTATCCAATATATCCAAGCCTCTAGCAAGATTTGAACACTCAGTTAACAGCTTTCTCGAGCAAAACCTTCTCTTCAATTCTTTCCAATCTGGTTTCCGTTTCCATTATTCCACCCAGTCTGCCTTGCTCTCCATTCTATTCTCCATAATCTCCGTTCTAAATCTTTTTGATTTTTCCAAAGTGTTTGATTCCGTCAATCATGAGATCCTCCTTTCCAAACTCCAAAGCCTGCCCATATCAAATATTGTCCTAAAATGGTTCCTCTCCTTCTTATCCAATTGATCTCAGACAGTTGTAATTCCGAACAAACCTCCATCGTCTCCCCTTCAATTAACACGAGATGTTCCTCAGGGTTCCACCCTCTCTCGGATCCTTTTCTCTATTTATATTAGTGACCTTCCTGTCGCCATTTAACACTCCTGTTACCACCTATATAAGATGGTTTCCAAATTTACCAATCATTCCAATCTCTTAAGATGCCTGAGGCTACCCGAAAGCTACAAGAATTGGAGATGGGCTGCAATAAATGAGTTAAAGCTGAATGCAGATAAAACTAAGGCTATTCTCATCGGGTCCAGATATCTCATTAGTTCCCTTCCTTTCCTTCTTTTTTCTAAATAATCCCCCCATCCATTTTTTCCCTACAGTCAAAAATCTAGGAGTAATAACGTTTGACCAGAAGCTCTTCTGGAATAAACATATCTCCCAGATCACCCAAAAATTCATAACCGTCCTTAAACAACTCCTAAGATTCTGTGATTGTATTCCTTAAAAAACCACACAGCTCCTTGTGCCTAATCTTATATTCCACCACTTTGAATTACGGCTGCTTGGTGTATGTAGGGCTATCTGTTAGGCTAGAAGTGAGATTAAAGAAACTCATGAATTGTTTTGTATGAGTCATCTTTGAAATCCTCAAGCATCCCTATGTTTCATTCTGGTGCACCGAGTTGAAGTGGCTTTATCCTACTTCCCGACGACAATTCCTCCTTGGTGTTTGCTTTTCCAACTCCTCAAAAAAAAACCCTCTCTACATCCTGGAACTCCACTCCTTATTCTATGTTCCTTTAGCTACTCTCAATACCAGGTCTCAACCTATAGATTTATGTATCCTCTCCCATAAAACTACTTCCTTCAACAAATCCTTCATGCTACCTCCTTTTGGAACTCTCTACCTAATTCCATGTGTCAATCCTCGTCCACAAATTCTTTCAAACAACTCCTGTTCCACAGCCTACTCCATATTCAAACTTCCACATGAATGTAAAATTTACTTGCGTTTATACACTGTTTAATTCAATCAACTGCACAATTGCAATAACGATCAACAGTTAATTAGGCATAATTTTGTTTTCATCTAAGGCAGACTAATGTTTTTAATTATGTAACTCTGTTATTATTCTTAGGGGACTGTAGTCCCAGAATAAAGTTATTTTTTCATTCATTTATTCATTACTTTTAAGATCCTATCACCAGAAAAATGATGAGATAACATGAGAATTATATATTAGATTGTGTAATAGTTAAAATCGAATTAATATCTTTTTTTTTTTTAAATTTTTATGATTACAAATCAGACAGAAAAGTTGAATTTTCATAATTTTTAATTTCTTAAGTTTGACTGTATTAAGGTTAGTTACTTGCTTCAACCTTAGTAACTGATCCTTTAATAGAAATTAGTGCTACTATTGTTCTTGAAATCATGTATGTATATAAGAAACTGTAAGTTGAACCCATTTATATTCGTATTCTTTTTTACTTTCACTTACGTATGTATGTAATATATAGTAAGGGTAAGTATTGCGATCGTGAAAATTTTCGAATCTCAGTTTTCAACGGAAATACATGTTTTGATGTCCCCTGAGTTCAAATAACCAAGTGTCGCAAAATGGTGTGTGTGCGTGCGTGTGCGCGTGAGCGTGCGCTTTTGTGTGTGCGTGGCTGCCTGTCTGTCTGTCCCTGTCTGTCTGTCTGTCTGTGTTAACAGTCTAGCTCATAAACGAAAAGTAGTACGAAACTGATATTAAGTATTTAAGGTTTGTATATGGGCCGGATATGACAGCAACTTTTTCGTTAAAATCGGCTAACCAGAAGTGCCACTTTATATGAACGCAGAAACACATTTTTACAATTTTCTCAAAAACGACTCTTAACGATTTTGATCAAACTTGGTTTATCATTGTATAATTAAGTGGTCTTTAATATCATTTAGGTTTTATCCCTGTTGATGTCACTTTACAGGGCTTAAATGTCCAATGTTCATATATGTCTTCTTCTAAAGTACCTTTAATATGGTTTATTTTAAAAAGTTAACCATTTCACATTATTCAGAGTTACGAAAAAATGCTACATATAACTTTTGAAAGAATTTGATAAGTTAATAAAGGAGAAAAAAAATTAAAATGCAGAAAAACCTGCGTTCCTACAGACTCTAGCGCCTAAACGAGTGTACCGATTTCAATGAAACTTCGCTAAAGTCATTTTCTCGATACCCTTTAAATTTATCTATATAACATACTTCAACGAAAAGAAGCCGGAAAAAAAGTTACGAGAGATGTTAAAATTAAATTCCGAATAACTCAAAAAGTATACACTTTTTTGTCGATATTGTGATAAGATGTTTCAAAGGTATTTAAATTTCCTACAAAAACAAAAAAAAATTCATTAGATCGGACAATTAGGAGGAAAGATATGGTCTCTAGTTTTTTTCCCTGAAGAGTTGAAAATTTGGATAAATTTAAAATATATTTTTTTACTTGTTGAGACTAAAAAAACTTTTTTCTACAGATATTTAATAAAGTGTCTTTCCTAAGAACATATTTTATAAGAAAGTAGTACCTAAATTTATACTTTTATTCTCAGTTTTATATTTCAACACTGCAATCACCACCTCTGGAATCAACTTACTCATTGTCTGCATAGATAACTTTTTCAAATAAAAATATCACTAAAATGACATCACTCAAAAATATTGAAATTGGTGTTAGTCATTCTGTGGTTTATAAAAGCAAAGAAAGTTGTGTGGTTTATAAAAGCAGATAGAGTGAATCTATTTTTATTGCCTATCGTCGATATATTAAATAGACATTTTGTAATTATAATGGTCTTAATGACTTGTTATCTGTAAGCTTTAAGCTTTAGCTCCGTTTAAAATGCACTTCAAAAAAATTTATAATAGCATTGCCAGAAAATAATTTCTATTCAAAGTAGATCGGTAAGTGTTGCGCGCACCAGATTTTTTCAACTATCACTGGAGTGATAGTTATTATTTCTAAAATTTTTATTAATCACTATAATTATTATTATTTTCTAATAAGATTTTTCCTCTTTGTTTTTATTACAGAATCATTTAAAGGACACTTTGGACCCATCCATGTGGTTAGGTTTTCCCCTGACGGAGAATTGTATGCTTCTGGGTCGGAGGATGGGACTCTGAGGCTCTGGCAGACGACCGTCGGAAAAACATATGGTCTTTGGAAATGCTTAGAAGCTTCTTCTCCTCCAACTATGGATATACCGGTCGCATCTCTTGCAGAAGTACCACCCGTGTAATTTCTTCCGTTCTCTTGGAATTTGTGCACAGTTCATTAATAATAAGGCTTTCTCATCAGAGGATCTTTATTTATTTAATGAGTCATTATTTGGTTTTTATTTCAAGCATATCATTGGGGGTTAACTTACATGAGTCAAGTCAACTTAAAATATAAGTGACTTAAGCTAAAAGTAAGTCTTCTTTGACTGGTGAGGTCTTCAGATGATGTTGTGATGAAATATCGATCGTGAAATGCATCAGGGCTCTTGAAAGCATTTAATTATTTGAAAATCCAAAAAAATCTTGTATTTTTTTAAATCTAATTTTTGTATTCAGTACGTACTTATTTGTCTTTTCAGTTATATTTCAAATCAATGTATTTAATTAGAAGGAATTTAAGTCTTCTTACATGGAGTTTTTTTCCTTTTGTTATGTTATTTCTGCCATCTTGTTGCTGGTTATACCTGAATATAACTAGCTAAATCATTAGTCGTAATAAACTGTTGTTTCTTTAAATGTTAATGACATGTTATGTCCTATATTACTTTCTTATTTCAAATTTGTATTAGTATATGAAAAAAAAAAACAAAAGTTAAAATTTTTTCTATAAGTATCTTTGTTACAGAAAAAAAAATGTATCTACCAACTATTTCTTTCATTTTGTTATAAAGATTATTTTCAGAATATAATTTATTTCTCTTCTATTTCAGTTCTTAAATAAACTATGAACCTAATTTGAGTGTTTTTTTTATTTGTATGATGTAATTTTTATGTTCTTTTAGCTTTGCTGCAGAATTATTTAATAAATAAAATTTCAAAACTAAATCTAAGGGTGCTCACTTAGTGGAGCGACGGTACTAGCGATGAAAACAAACTCATGCATTTCTATAGAACACCGCATAGTGAAGCGACGAGCAACACGACTAAGAGCGCTGCATTTTTTGTCGGGACGCCATATCTTCATCAATCCTTCATAATATCCAATGATTGACCACTCAATTTTTAAAATCTTCTTCAGGTGGGAAAAGTAGTCATATCCCCCTGAAATTTCAGGAAAAATATGAAGGAAAATAAACTTTATTTGCAAATAACTCATACATTTTTTTTTTATTGTACTCATGATTACCCAAAAATCAAAATTATTATCTGAGATGCATGTAAACGTAATTTGATCAATGATTATTCAATAATGAACGTAGATAAATTAATTTGCTTAAAACATTAAACATTTTGGTTTAAAACATTAACGAAGTTTTATATTAATATTATTTTCCTTCATCAATTACAATTACCACTTCTTCTTTCTCTAGCTCCTTAGTGCTGTTAAGTGTGGAGCTGCAGTCCCAGTCCATCTTGCCCATTGGTCTCTGTACCTGGCTAGTCTTCTCATCTCCAGTATGGTGCATCCTCTTGCTGTGCCCTGTTTTCCAATGTAATCTGTATATATGCCTAGGCCTGCCACTAGGTCTTCTGTCTGCCGATCTGGTTTCCATAAACCACTTGCCCTTCCGGGTTTCATCCATTCTACAGATATGCCCGAACCATTTCATCTGCTCTTCAAGGATACCACAGATTGATGTCATCTCCAATTCGTCATGAACTCTGTCATTTCTGACACAGTCCCTCTTAGTTTTGCCAGCTATTCTTCGGAGGAATCTCATTTCTGCTGCTGTTATCCTGTCTACGTGCTTATCGAGGGTTGTCCAGCTTTTAGATCTATACAGAAGCACTGGGAGGAACACCGCCTTATATATCATGAATTTGGCCTTTCTACTTACTTCCCGTTTGTTATGATTGTTTTGGCTATCTGGTAATATATTCCATTGGCCTTTATCACTCGATTTAGTACCTCTTGGTTTATTTTGCCTTCTTCATTGATGATTGCTCCCAGATACATGTATGCATTCGTTACCTTTAGGGGTTCGCCATTACTTAACATGATAGACTGCGCATTATCTTTTCCAACGCACATAATCTTGTTCTTAGACGGGTTGATATGCAGCTCTCATAGCTTCAATAATTCTTCCCACTCGAATAGTGATATCTATAGAGCCTCTTGTGGGTCCGCTATAAGGATTATGTCGTTGGCATACAACATAGCTTCAGCCAACAGTGGTGTCAAATTCCAATATCCCACAACAGCCTTTGAGGTTCTTCTTTTACACACTTTCCAAATTTCATCCATGAGAAAGATAAAAAGCAGAGGACTAAGACTATCCTCCTGCTTTACTCTTTTATAAAAGTGGAAAGGTTCTGATTTCATTGAGCTTTACTATACTTTTTGGATCTTTCTTGCTGATAAAATGGTCTTCACCATAATAAACCTGCTTATTATCATCCAGACTGATCCAGCATTTTGACCCCCCTTTAGCAGCATCTTGAAGTATTCTGTTCATCTGTCTATTGTACATTCGTTTACCTATATAATGGATACTGATCCTTGTTTTCTTTTCCCAGATTTTGGCACTTTCTTTGTCATTCACTTAATGTTGTTTTCCAATGTTTATGTCCAATTTCGTGTTTTCCCTCATTTTGTGACCAAATACTAACAATCAGTTCTAGTTACCTAGAAGAGCTTATAGCTTCGCCCTTTCCATCTTTCTTTGTGCAGAGAGAATAATGCATTTAATATTAAAATTTCCTATTTTTTATGATATGGTCCAACTTCCAAATAAATAAAGGAAATAAAAATGATTTTTTAATAGTGATACATGAATTTTACTAAACAATCCATCACCTATTCATTATATGTAGTTCAGATTGGGTATATATTATTTTAGTTTATAAAACAGGTATTAATATGACTTATTTCTGGGGAAGTATATACAATTTAAATTCCCTGTATGAATCATTAAATATATAAAACAAAGTGTTAAATTGCCAACATTAAATAAAAAATTGAAGATATTCAGCAAAGTATTTTTGAATTGACTTTTGTTATTATAATTATATAATTTTCATAATAGAGGCCTTCTTAAACGACCTCCCTATAGAACAAAGGAAGCTAAATTTAAAAAAAATTTCAGCACGTTTTGCGTTATTGTTGGCCGTTTAAATACAAACGACGCTTGATTTTCAACTTGAAAATTTTTTAGTTAAATAAATTGACTATTGGTGTTTTTTATTGTCTAAGCCTATTATTTTTTCATGTTTTATTATTCTCTGACCAGGTGATTCTATAGTCCAGCTTTAATAAAAGACCAACTATGACGGAATTAAGCTAAATGTTGATTCTCAGTAACAAAAAAACTAACTAAAGTCAAAGTCGTCAATCCCCCATGTTTGGATGCCATTTTGGGGCAGTTCGGTCACTTTTTTTTGTGGGAACATTGGCTTTTTTTTTTAATAAATAGTTACAAGGAACATAACAATATGCAATTTATAGGGATGTGGGGGGGATGGGGTGCACGGTACGGAGGTCTGGTCCACCGTTTATTCTGCTCATTGCTCCATTATGCGGTGTTCTATTGAAATTTATGTGTTTGTTTTTGTCTCTCCACTATGTGGTTGGTTACCCTAAGTTAGGTATAATATTAATGGTCAAAAAAGTACCCAAAATATATGCTCAGTAAATAAGATTTTATTTTCTATGAAATTCTTAAAACATTTTCAACTTTATTTTTTCCCTCTTTGAATTTGTGGAAAGTTGGTTAATCTCTGGGATTCCATTCTCTTCCACTTATGTATGTTATTTGGTCTAAGTTTATTGTCAAGTGTGAACACTTAGTTGCTTAAAAGAAATCCAATCATGGCAAAAGTGGGATTAGTTTATTGTTTCAAAGTAAAAGGTTGGATAATTAATTATCGTAAACTTAAGTTCAATGAAAATAAAGTGTTCTTCACATTATGTGAGAATGCAATTGGGTGTATAAGAAATTAATTCTTCACATTATTAATTTTTTATTTAAAAAAAAAGATATTTAACTTTTTTTTATATTTTAAAGTTAGTATACGTTTGCTGGTCACAACTTCTTGTCAATATAGTCTGTCCCAATTGAGCTTATGAAAACATCTGAGGTTTGGTAATCTAGAAACAATTTAAAAAAGGTGCGTGTAACATTGCTCTCAATACGAACATTCCTTTCAGCAAAATATTATATTGAAAAAAGCACTCATGAGAACTAATTACCTGCAAGCATGCTAAAAGTCAACTTTTGAAAATATATCCTAGCCCACATAAATCCTAACTCACTTAATCTCTTTGTTCACAATGGTGGATGAGGCCACACATTCAAATGGGCCATACCATAGGTAGGGAAGCCTAGAGGCCGCATGTGGCCTCCATGATGTAGATGTAGCCATCGGCGGATCTACGAGGTGGGGGGGGAGGGGCTTTCGGATTGAAGCCTCCCCCCAAAATGGTAAAATATAACCATGTTTTATGGAAAAATATATTAAAAAATTATCTGTTAAAGTATTATTGTTCGTGTAATTACATTTAAAAGGACTTAAGGAATCACTTAAATACCATTTCATATAGATAGTTTCTTTTTTTCCAAAGTAATTATCATCATTTTTATGAAAGAAAAAAGCTTTCGAGCTGAAGCCTCCCAAAATTAAATCCTGGATCCGCTAGTGGATGTAGTCTCCAAATATTTTAGCATGATATTTATAAATCTAGTGTTAAGAAAAATAATAATAAGAAAAAATAAGGTCCTGCCTGCTACTTTGGTTGAAATTTAGTTCTCAAGGATGAAATAAAAGTAAAAAAAAAAAAAAACATTTTTTAATCACTTATTTATTATAATAAATTACATTTGTCCAATTACAAATATATATTTCAATTTTGAAGTCTTATAACTCTTTTAAAATAATAATCATATTTACAAAACTGGAAGTTCCATCTGTTAAGTGTAAATGGTATCAGAGAATTATTAACATAACATTTTGGAGAAAGATTTCTTTATATATCATTGGCACAAAAATGGCATATTTATCCATTGAAGAGGAGGTAACTCATGTGTTGAATAGGATTGAATTTATAATTAACCTTTAACCAGCAAGGAACAAACCATTCAATTGTTGGTATAATTAGTTGTTATGTATGCGATTTATGTGCTTAAATAAATTAAATTGCTCTTAGTGATAATTTAACATTATTTGCTACAACTACATGAAATATACCAAGATATTGAATGATTTTTCTTTGAAACTGCCTTTCTTTATAGCAAGAGAACTTACGACTGGAATTCTACTTGGGGCAGAAAAAAAATGTAATTGTATAAATTGTTCATTGAGCATGACTGAATATTACGTCATTATTTAAAAAAAAAACAAACATATAAAAACATTAACTTATGCTAAAATTGAAAGTTAATAAAAAATATTTACAGACATATATTTGACCATTCCTATTCTCAGTTTAAGAGACAACTTTAAATCATAACTTCCACATACTAGGGTTCAGTATCATAAAAGAGACTATTTGTATTCAAAAATACAAAAAGTTAATTGAAAAATATTTGTGTATAATTAATTCAATTAAGTAAACTATTAATTAATTAACTTTTTAGCTCATTAAAAATTATTTTGCATATCGTTTTTTAAAACATGATTTTTTAAAAATATACTCTGTTATTTTAATTATGGATTATTATATCTCAAAAGTTAAACATTGAGTATCATTTATTATATAACATATTTTATATAGTGAATAGCAGTTTCATTTTATAATACCAAATCTTCAGTCCAGCAACTTTCTCATCCCCTTCATGATCAAATAAAAGAAATATATATATAATTGATTATCACATATAAAAAACTATACAACTAATATACATTAGAAATACAATGTAACTGGGTGCATCCAGTTAAGTTTTGAAACAATACCGCTGTGGTGCCAAATTTACAATACAGAGGTTTCGTTGGTTACAATAATGACACATAAATGAAGCTTTACAATGACCGTGCAGTTTTCCATTGCACAGGAACTTGTAACATTAAAATTTCTTGGTAAAAAATCAAACCAAATCAAGGTAGCCTTTGTTAAAAAATTCCATGATTACTACTACACTAACAGCGGAGGAGGTACATCAAACGGCCTAAGGTGGGGCCTTCTCTTGTTCTGCCTGACAGGTGGCGGTGGTACCAGTGAGGTAGGCAGGAACCCTCCATTATGTGTTCTCGGCCTTCGTGTTGTAAGGGACACTGAAGGGATTACAGAAGTCTGTCTGGTCAGGTATTCTCCACATTGGGATGAGCATACTTCATCTTCCAGGACAGCTTCCATCCCAGCCTCTCTCAGCAATCGGTCACAGTCTGTTACTCTCAAAGAAGCACATTGAGCCTGAAAATGAAATGAAAGATGAATTTAGAAGTGCTGTAACAAAAAGAACAACTACCATCATAAACATAAACTTTCAGCAATATCTCAGTTCTTACATAATTTATAAAATCCATACATCAATATTCCAGGTACTTTGAAATTTCTATAAGTATAAGTAATTAGATTTTATTCCATAAGTGGGAATAAAATGTACAGGGTTAAGTAACTGGCAGTATTTTAGCAGGCTCAGTTGGTCAGAAACCTTTTAGTTTTTAAAGGGAGTTAGTCAAACTATGAGTAGACTATAATAGTTAAATATATCACAGATATAATATACAATACTTCAGTAATTAAAGGTACTAGTTTTTATGATGCTATTGTCAATGTTGGTGAAACAAGATCTGATGAAGGATAACATTTGTGTCAATGTCCAGCATGCAGGATAGGATGTGCTCTGAACAAAAATAGAAAATTGCTTAGTGACTTACTCCTTCTGGAGTACAGATACAACTGGTGCATGGTGTGGGTATGTAAGACTCTCCAACAGCTACAGTTCTTCCTGCTATTTGGCAGCCTGTTTGTGCTGTTTCCCGCCATGCATTTAGATCAATTGTGGGTAAAGAATTACATTTCACACGAGGATTTCTAAAATTAAAGAAAATTTAATTTGGGTCCAGAATAGTAATAACAGAGAATATGTTTAACAAGAAATAGTAATGCACATAACAATCTAATAATATACTCACAAGAAATCTGAAGGCAAATCGAATGCTGACCTTTGAATGTCTGAACTGACATCCATATTAGCACAAACCAATTTGCTTAAAGTTGATTTTCTTATTTCTGCCAGTTGTGGCTCAGTGAACCTCACAATGGGATCATCACTTTCATACCTTTAACAAATAATAGTGTTTATTTTTAATTGCATATTGATGGTTTGCCACTTAATAGTAATTAAAAATGAATAATTAAAAACCATTTGAGAATAAATAATTTTAGAATTTTAAGAAAACAACTAAGATATATTGAATTAAATAAAATTCAAGTATTATTTAATGTAAAACAGCTCAAGAAATTAATTTTTTAGGGGAGATGATGTCATTGCCAGGGAATGTCAAATGTCTAAGGGTGGGACTGACTGACCATACTTGAAACTGTGCGCCTTGGGTTTGTTAAAATGAAGATCTGTTATTGACATGGTTAATTGTTGTTCTTGTGGAAAACAAGGGGGGTATAAAACTAGAGGAATCGATTGAAAACAATTTCTTGTGCCCCAAGACAGGAGAACCATCGCCTGTGTCCAAAAATCATTGTTTTATATTTTTCTAGTACCCCAAAAATAATTATTATGTATTCGTTTATTTCCTAAAATTTTTGGGGCACCTTTGAGGGAACCCCAACATAAATGTTTTGTTTTTATCTAGTACCATTAAACGTTTGGCCATAAAAATAATTGTATTGAATTCGTTTATTTCCATATATTTTTGGGGCCCCTACGATGGTGTATGTGTGTGAACAGTCTAGATCAAAGAACAAAAAGTCTTATGCAAGTGAAATTGCATATTCAAGGTTTTTATATGCCTGTGATGTTACAGCAACATTTTCGTCAAAATCGACAAACCGGAAGTGGTACCTTATATCACCGATTTAAAACATTTTTACTACAACATTTTTTATTATTAATTTTAGTGATATTTCTAGGGGAAAACTTTACACCTTTATTCCCAGTTCTATATTTCAATACTGGAATTACCTACTCTGGAATCTACTAACTCACTGTACAGATATTATAAATTTTTCAACTAGAAATATCACTAAAATGACTTTACTCAAACGTTGTTGAAATTGGAGTAAGTCATTCTTTCAACTGAAAGGCACATGTACCTCAGAGACTGGAGTTATGTGGTTTACAAAAAAATACAGAGGAACGTTGTTTTTATTGCCTACCGTCGGTGTAATAAATAGGGTTTTTGTTATTTTAATGGTCTTAATGATTTGATAGCTGTAAGATTTTGGCTTTAGTTCTGTTAAAAATGCAATTTAAAAATTTTACGATAGCCCAACATGACCAGAAAATAATTTCTATTCAAAGTTGAGTGGTAAGTGAAAGTTGTGTGTTGCTCGCACCATATTTTTTATATCAGTTTCCGATGCGAAATGGTTAATAATGTCAAATAAAAAAATAAGGTACTTTAGAGGAAGAAGTTTTGGAAATAAGGTATTTGACTGTTAGAGAACATCAATGAGAATTAATCCTACATTATATTTTAATAAAAACGGCTTAAATTTACATTGATATAATAAATTTAATCAAAATCGTTTGAGACATGTTTGAAAAATGTGTAAAAGCGATTATATAACTTGCCACTGTCGGTGAGCCGATTTTGACGAAAATGATGCTATAACATCCCAGACATGTACAAACTTTTAATAAACAATTCCAGTAGCATACGGCTTTTCGTTTTTGAGCTAGACTGTTAAATGCACACACACACACACACACAGACAGACCATTTTGCGTGACTTGATTATTTGGACTTAAGGAACCTCAAAACATGTATTTCTGTTAAAACTCAATTACGAAAATTTTCACGATAACAATATTTTCTGTTACGATATATTACATAAGTAAATAATGTACGTGAAAGTAAATAAACCTATTCATTCGTGCTGAAGCCCCAAAAATTAAATCTGGATCCGCTTTTGCATTAACTCAGAGACCGATGCTATATTAGGACCTGTCTTCATGGCTGATAAGTGGGAAGGGTTTGTGGAAGTGGGAAAAAAGGCGTGGCTTACTCTGGTGAAAGAGAATAATTAAACTCCTGTAGGTATGTTTTTCCCTAATACAACCGCGACTGAAACAGGGAAACGCCAAACGAGCGAATGGCAGTAACTCAACTCGTCCACTGTTGAGGTGTATACGTACTTCTCTTTCTATCTTTATTGTTGGATTATTATGACTCTTATTTGATTAAAAAAAAGATTAGTTAATTGATAAAAAAATACAACGATTAGCCCCTTCAGGTATCATCAGTATAGACAAAGATAAGATCGCATAAATGCAGACCAGATATAGCATATTTATCATGTCAGAGAAAAATTATATAATAAAGATAGCTAGAAGGTAGATGCATCATTCCACGACATTTGTGTTCATTAAAAAAGTCTTCTTTTTATTAGTTGTTGATGTGGAATGTGCATTTTGTGGTCTGCATAATTGTGATCTTGTCCTTTTCTGTTCGGAAGGTGGTTGGTTAGTGACAGACAATTTGACTCATACTTCATTCATGATTGATTTTGCGAAAGTTGGCATCATTTCATGAGCCAAGGTATTTATGCAAGACTGTATTTACAAAATTATAATGATTTTTTTTTACTTTCACTAGCTAAATATATAGTAAGGGTATATATATGTAATATATAGATATGTAATATATAGTAAGGGTAAGTATTGCGATCGTGAACATTTTTGAATCTGAGTTTTCAACGGAAATACACGTTTTGAGGTCTCCTGAGTCCAAATAACCAAGTCACAAAAAATGGTTTGTGTGTCTGTGTGTATGTGAACAGTCTAGTTCAAACATCAAAAGTCGTACGAAACTGATATTACATATACCTTAGACGTGGCAGCTATCTTTCCCCCTTAAAATCGGCTAACCGAAAGTGCCACTTTATATCAACGGTGAAACACATTATTACAATTTTCTCAAAAACGGCTCTAACGATTTTAATTAAACTCGGTGTGTCATTGTATAATTAAGTGATCTTTAATATCATTTAGATCTTATCCTCATAGATGTCACTTTATAGGGCTTAAATGCCTTATGTTCATATACGACTTCCTCTGAAGTACCTTTAATATGGTTTATTTTGACCTATCCATTCCAAGGCAATGAAAATCTCGTAATTTTGTTTTAGTAAACTTTACAATGGAAAATAGCAGTTTAATAACTAATAGTCCTACGATCCATAATCATTTATAGGTTAAATATTCAGATATACTTTCAAACCTCTGTAGGCATATATGAGCCTTTCGGTTGACAGAATGACTAATCCCAATTTCAACATTCTTTATTATTGATTTTAGCGATGTTTCTAGTGGCAAAATTTGTATCTGTATTCACAGTCCTATATTTCATCACTGCTATCACCTACGCTAGAATCAACTTATTCATTATCTGTATAAATAACTTTTTAAATTTTAAATTGGAGTTGAGACTGAAGTTGTGTGACATTTTTTTGTAATTTAATGGTCTTAATGATTTGTTATCTGTAAGCTTTAAACTTTAGCTCCTTTAAAATGCACTTCAATAAATTTATAATGACCCAGCATTGCCAGAAAATGATTTCTATTCAAAGTAGAGCGGCAAGTGAAAGTTGTGTGTTGCGCGCACCAGAATTGTTTTGTTATACGAAATGAAACAAACCAACCAGCTTTGGCTGCCAAAGCTTGGCACAGAGTAGGGATGGCCGCAGCGACCGTCCGCCACGCCCCGGTGTCATCGTTTCCCTGTTTCAGCCGCGAATTGTATCAGGCGGAGCGGATCCGGCAGGAGCTCACGGAGTGGCTTCAGAGGTTTGCATCAGGTGGCCACGCCTTCCTTCCCACTCCAACGCGCACTGCCCCGCCCTCATAACAAGCTCCACCTACTCAGTCACCTTAAATGTATATGGACGATTTAAAACATCGTAAATTTATTGGTTCCTCACTGCGGAAGGTGGGGAAGCATTGTATTCGTGCGAGAGGTTGAAAAAAAATTGTGCTTAAATCGAAAATTTTCACTCGCGTTTTAAGTTTCAGACATAGTAGTCAGTGGGCCAGACTCCCCTACCGTTTACCACTCTCTCCTCTCCCCCCCCCCACACATCGCTACAATTTGCATATCGTTGTGTAACTATTTATGAAAAAAAAAAACCAATGTTCCCACAAAAAAAGTGAACGAACTGCCCCAAAATGGCGGACTGAAGACTTAGACTTCAGTTTTTTTGGTCACTGAGAATGAGTATTTGGCTTAATTTAGCCATAGTTGGACTTTTATTGAAGCTGTATAGTCAGAGAATAATAAAACAAAAAAAAAAATATTTTAAAATAATTGGCTTAGGCAATAAAAAACACCAGTACGTTCAATTTCTTAACAAATAAATGTTCAAGTTGAAAATCAAGCGTCATTTGTAGTTAAATGGTCAATAATAACGCAAAATGTGCATAAATAAAACACCTGGAGAATATATTTCTCTTTCTAAAAAAATTGATTACGTTTTAAAATATTCGAAGCAGTTCCGTATAAAATGCACTTAAGCGGCAGAAAAGCGGAACTGGCGTGGGTGCCTACGGGTCTCTACCACACCATTCAATACTCATAAATGGTTTAGTTATAATGATATAATAACTATTTTGGTACATGATATTGATTGTATTAACGAACAAAAATTAATGCAATAATTTAATTGTTCAAAAAAATTAAACTTTTTTTTATTTATTATTTTATTTTTTTAAACTTTAACTTCCTTTATTCTATACGGAGGTCGTTTAAGAAGACCTCTATTGTAAAAATGATATAATTATAATAATAAGACTTAATTCAACAATACTCAGCAGAATGTCTTGAATTTTTATTTAACGTTTGCAATTTAACACTTCGGTTTGTATATTTACTGGTTCTTCATTTAATTCGGACACCTTTCTGCAGCAATTAGTTCGAATTAATGAGATGGTACAGTGTATTTTTTTTTTGTGATGGATAGAGGGGTTGATGCCCTCCACCTCCCTCCGTGCACCGTGACGCGAACACGTTATTATTTTACCAAATTATCTTCGATCCGGGTTGCTGAGCAACGGCGGTTCCATGCACTCGCATAAGCCCGCTAGGGAACCCCTCACCTATTGTATTGTGTACTTGTCATCTTTTTATGATATACTAGCTTTACCCGGCCACGCGCTGCTGTGGCTTAGCATGGCAAAATGAAAAAGAAAGAAAATAGAAAGCACATATGAGTAGATTAGTAGCAAAGGACATCTGTCATTTTTAAAGTTGGGAAACAAATTTGTCTGTAAAATGGCTTCAATTGAAACTAATTCTAATTGTTTTTTTTTTTTTCTCATGATTCAAATTGAACATTCATAATCATCTGAGTAAATACGCCGTCATTCATAATCATCAGAAACAGTCTGAGTTGAACTTATAAAATTAATTTAAAAAACGTATAATAGTATTGATCTACATAAGGAGAATCATATAAATTCTTCAAATGATAATTTCAATTACTGTAGTAATTATAAAATTTTCGATTAATCAATAAAAAAAAAAAAAAATGCTTGCCGACGTTCGGTAGTGAGGAAGCAAAAGGAAACGGCCTTTTCTGAAGAGAAAGCTGTAAATGTTTAAAACTCAATAACTCTGCAACGAACCGTCCGATTTCGATGATTTTTTTTTAATTTTGTCGGCAAATCAGGAATCTTTCAAATAAATGTGGGTCAAAAATTGTGTACTTTTTTAGTTATCGTCAAATAAAATATTGAATTCATCGTAACATTTTTCAGCTCTTTTTCGGGAAAGTATGTTATACACATAAATTAAAAGAGTTTCAAGGGGAAGACTTTAGCCAAGTTTCGTTAAAATCGGTAAAGCCGTTTTGGCGCTACAGTTTATAGCGACACATTTTTTTTGCGGCTTTGAACAGAAAAACATTTACATTTTTATTTTTTTTACATATATAAAATTATCGTAAGACAGAAGTACTATGCCAGAAACCTTCCCAGGAGTGTACGGAACAACTTCCCAAAGTTTCATGGCGATCGGTTGAATGGTTTAGTAATGCACTAAGGACAAACAGACGGACAGACAGACATACATTCATTTTTATATATATAGAAGATTATTACTTATGTCCTATTTAACGGAAAGATTTCAAAAACTGTTTACCAAAATCTGTCACATTTCCTCAACTGCCTGAACTGCAGACCAATAATGCAGGCGAACGTCGGTCCGACCAGCCCGCCTTGAAGGGGCCTTTCGCTGAGCCCGCCGGGGAAGAGGTCCACGTCGTTCACTGTCGGGTAGATCAATCGCAGTCGAGCGATCACTTCCGCCGGTATCTCTCTGCTGAGGTCGTCCCAGGTTACGGCACGTTTGAGGTTGCACAGGGATCTGTATTCGTTGTATGGCGGGATCCCATGGTCTCGGGCTGAAAATCAATCTTATCAGTAACATGAAAAATACATATAAAAATAGAAAAATCATTGCATTAACTACATAGATTGTACCACAATTTCGTTTTATTTTCCTTAGTATGATTTACATAATTTTCACTAACAGAAAGCACGTAAAGTATCACTAAAACCTTTAAAGACACAAGGAAAGCTCTGCTAAAATATCAAACATCCAAATAATATAACCTTTCCTATCAAAAGAATTATGCAAAATAATGGACGCGCCATTGTATAATACAAATAATAACTACACAAATTTCTACTGCTGACATACAATAAGAGCCCCTGAGAACACAAATCCATACATCCCAATATCACCAATTTCGAGTTATTGGACAAGTACTTTTTTGAGACTGTCATTAATCTGTCTCACATACGCTAGTATTGTCACACATATATATTTATGCTATATATACATACAAATATACACTGTACCACTAGCGGATCCAGGATTTAATTTTCGGGAGTCTTCCGCCCGAAAGATTTTGTTTTCATAAATCATAAAAATAATTTGAAAAAAAAAGAAAGAAATTAACTACCTATATGAAATGGTATTTAAGTGGTTCCTGAAGTCCTATTAAATGTAATTAAACGAACAAGAATACTTTAAAAGATATTTTTTAATATTTTTTTCAGCAAAACATGGTTATATTGTAACATTTTTTGGGGGAGGGGTCTTCAGCCCGAAACCCCCACCCCCAGATCCGCCTGTGTACTGTACAACTATACATAGGTATTGCTTTGTTTTTTTAAAATAATTCCGCCATTATACCAAGATATTTGTCCTTATTTACTAACAAAACATAAACAAATAAAATAAAATAATAATTGAAACCACAGGATAAAACAGTTCACATTGTGTTCAATATAATACATACAATGCTACCAGGTTAAAAAAAAGATTCTCTCCCTGAAAAGTGGATGGAAAATAACGGTTTTTGGATAACCCGGGTTCTTGAATTATTCACATTGATTCAGGACTTAATACAATAAAGATCCTTGGTGTGAGACAAAGAGACGATATTTGAGTATCAAAAGAGAAGGGGCTGTATTGCGATGTAGGATTAGGGACTGAATTGAATAGTAATGAAATGAGTTGGATAATACGTTTATGATGGGAATAACGGGAATAGTATAAAATTTTATCTCTCTGAAATTATTCCAAGATCTTACAAATAACTTTCTAGTGTACCTCTTTGTACATTCAGGGCTGGAAGATCCATTCCAGAGTGTGGTATCCTTCTATCTTCGAAAAGATGATTAGTTATTTCACCTGTGATGAACTGATCCAAGCTTTCCATCGGGGTTGAAGCCAGGCCTCTCATAATATCATCGATGATATGAGGCTGAAATAAGAAAGCATTTTTTCAACTTAAATGAACATAATAAAGCATATTTTATACTAATAAGAACGATGAAACTGGAATATGGAGATGAAAAATATACCATATTTCAAGAATTGGAATACAGAAAATAATACATTGAGAGGAAGTAGTAGCATTTTTTTTTTCCGATTACTTCCTACCTTGCTTTTTCTCGCATAAGGAGGGAGAAAGGTTGTTCTAGATGTACAATCAAATCTATTATAACTGGAGTGAGAAGGTCGAGATTCATTCAATAGAACGAACTACGGAATACATTTCAATACCCTCGTCCCTGGTCGGATTTTAACCGCCGGAGCTAAACTTGATAATCACTGTTACCAATGTAGTCAGTGGTACAGACCCCTTTTTATCAAATTATTAACATCCGCCTGAAATTTCGTGATTAGCTTCGTTACCTATAACTATTTTACTTAAGAAAATTCTTGTAATTGGGGAGTTTTCAATCTGGAGGCCCACATTATCTATTAAATTAGGTACTAAAAACTCGTAAATGCCCATTTCCTTTCCACTTGACTCATAAGATAACTTGAGCATAAAGTCGTAAAATATTGAACCGTTTGGAGTGACCTACACCTCATAATTGCCGAAATGACGAGGTTATATAGGCGAAACGATTTAATTTAGTAATAAAACCTCGTATACACACATTTGCTTTCCACTTGGATCGTAAGATAATTTGATCGCAAAATCGAGAAAAAAGATGACTTACAAAAATATTGGGCCGTTTGGCCTAGGCAACCTCGTTATTTTCACATTGTGGGGGTATAGGTCACGCTAAACGGCTCAATATTTTTTAAGATCACCCTTTTTCTCCAGTTTATGCTTAAATTAATTTATAATTTAAGTGGAAAGCAAATAAGTATTTACGAGTTTTTAGTACCTAATTAAATAGACAAAGTTTGACGATCTCAAGATTGAAAACGCCCCAATTACGAGGATTTTTGTAAATAAATTACTTGTAGGTTACGATGGGATGAAGCTTTTTACAAAGTTTCAGGTGGATTTGATAAAAGGGGTCAGTACCACGGACTATCAATCTACCCTCAGCCCAGCTGTTTACCTATCAAAATCGTATATTTACTTTCGAAGCCGCCAATGTATTACACACAGATTTTAATGGAACTTGATTTTAATATTTCACTTAAAGGCAGAAAACAACTAAAAAATAAAGGTTGTCTCGGTTCGGTCTTTTATATCGTCGGCACCATGTTAAAGTAACGAATCATAACCTGTTTAAAATTGCATATTCGTTAGTTTAACATGGTTATGACAATATAATAAATGTCAAATTAAACAATAAAAATAAAAATAATGAAAAAAAAAACGAAAATTCAAGAAATTAAATAGTAATTCAAATCGACTCATTTCATTATTGATTCTTAAAATGACTTTTTTAACATCTTGCTTGATCATTGACCAAGGTTATTCTAAGACTTATCCAATACTGGGGCAAATTATATTGTGAGGAGAGGGACAAAGTTTGTTAGAAACAAACAAATAACAATAATATTGAATAACACTATAAATTAAGAGTCATTGTTTATTAAATTAGACCAATGGATAAGAAGTGAAGAGAAAATAATTAATTAAAAAAGGTCAATAATATAAACTAATAACTAATAATTATATTATGGTCTAACAAATCCAGAGCTTCGGTCACAAGAACACCAACAGTATCTGGTCACATATACCTATGTCTCGTTCTACCTCATTAACCAAAAGTTTATATTAATTTGGCGTAGTTTATGCAATTCTACGTTGTTTAATCGTTTAAATTCTTCAATCAACTTATTCTTCTTCAGGTTCAATTTTCTACGAGATACTTTACTTTCGACAACCTTAAGTCGTGATTCTTCTCTGTGTTGTTTTCTAATTATACAAACATAATTGGTATTTTTATCAAACCTGGTAAATGATATCGGGATTGAAGAAATGGTCCCTGAGTAAGATTGCGGGTTCCACAGGATTGTAAGAAGTCCCCATCCTTGGAATATGAGGCCTTAGTAAGCTGTGGCCAATCCTGTAAGCTGCCGTCGCGAATTCTGTCACTATAGTTGGATTACAAGTTGAGCTATAACCTAAAATATCAAAAGAACAATATATTATGTACATAATGAGACAAACACACGTACATATATACATAAAATAGAATAGAAAAAACAACTTTAACATTGTTTCTGAGGCCGGAAGGACAAGGTACCACTTGATAATTCATGGGCGCGTTGGGAAAAATGAGGCATATTTTTCGGGACTAGAGGCCCAAGGAGCTTCGTGATCTCCCAGTCTTTTTTTTTTTTTTTTTTTTTCTCTCGTCAAGAGATATTTCTGATAGTCCGGAAAGTACTTGAAATAACAAAAACAAAAAATTCTAAGAGGTTTTAGGGCAGATGTATTATTTATTATAACGGCAGATATTATATTTGGAAATGTTTCAAAAGTAAAATGAAATAATGACAAAAAGTTAAAACGAAACTACAGCAAGCTTGGCTTACTAGATTTGACTTGGAAAGTTTTCATTAAAGTTTCAAAGAAATTGAATCAATAATTAAAACTTCAAATGCTACAAATTGAAAATATAGAGTGATGAAGCTGTTGGAGGAAATGAGTGATGTGTACAAATAGCCTTTTCTATTGAAAATGCTACTATATTTTCAGTTCCGCCCTTAGATATTTGGCGCCGCCCGGACAATGACGTTTATACGTAATGTAATTTTTGAATTTTATTTCATTCGATACTTCTCTAATACAGATGCTTTATTAATAGGATAAAATTATTTATTTTATTACGTTTTTAAATATATTCTTTAAATTTTTAACAATCAGCGAACGGCCCTGATATTGCCTCGGTTGCTCCATCCTAAGGCTGCTGCTGAATATTTTGATATTTGTGCTTTCTTCAAAATTGATCAGTTTATCAGGGATCGAGGAGGAAGCAAGGTTAGAAACGAGAGGTTTGGATGGTTCTGAAATTTATTATGGAAGGATAGGTATCTGGATTGGGCCAAATCGGAAACATGAAGAACATTAAAGTCGTTATGGATGATTTTATTAGTGAGAAAATAAGGAGCATTGAGGATTTTACGAAGGACTTTGGATTATAAGGATCGGTTACGTAAGGAATTCGATTGCTTTTTGGAGCCCCAAATCACAACACCATAAGTCTAAATAGGTCTTACTATAGTCACCAGCGGATACAGGATTTCATTTTTTGGGAGTGTTATCCTCATGTTATCCTTTTACATGCGTTTCTAAACATATGTAAAAAACCTTAATTTTACATATCTTAACAATTACAGATATTGATTGAATGGCATCAGTTGGAGTGGAAGGAATAAGGGAATGGAGTAAAGATTTATGGATAAGGATGCAAGAACCGACGTGGGAAATGGTGTCTGGGTGGTCAGGTCTACAAGTGGTGTAGTCTCATATGCGAAAATGTGTCCGTTTGGTGAAATGAGTTTCAGTCATGAATTTGAATTATTTAATTTGAGTAATGATGAATTATTTGAATTTGAGTAATGATTCACTAACATTAGTGATATATATTGTATGTTTTCACTCGTAAAGAAAATATTTGATGAATTGTCGAACGATTCCGTCTAAATCCGCATTGGTAGTCTCCGATAATTTCCTCGGCGTATTCCGTGATTCGACTGGTTAAGATTGAAGTGAATATTTTGTAACATACCGGAAGGAGTGAAATTCCCCGATAGTTATTACAATCCGTCCTCGGACCCTTTTTGTGAATCGGAATAAGAATAGATTCTTTCCATTCTTCAGGTAATTTCTCGTTCACCCAGATCTTTTTAACCAACCGATGTATTTTAGAAACTCCAGCTTCCCCGCATGCCTTAATTAGTTCAGTAGGAATATTATCGATTCCCGCTGCTTTATATGATTTTAATTTTCCGATAGCTACTTCAACTTCCTCTTTACTTGGTCCTTCTATTAACGGTTCAGCACTCTGGTACTCAGAAGGAGGACACAGATCATAATTTCCCGTATTTTCTTTACGGCAAATATTAGAGAAAAAGTTGGAGTATAACGGTATTGTTCACCAGCTGTATATAGATTTTAAAAAGGCTTACGATTCTATTGACCGCCAGAAACTGTATAATATTCTAATCGAGCAGGGGATTCCAAAAAAACTAGTAAATCTAGTCAGGATGTGCTTGACGGAGACACTCAATAAAGTTAGAATCGGTAATAATTTGTCCGAAAAATTTGAGGTTCGTTCGGGCTTAAAACAGGGGGATTCTCTTTCGCCTATCCTGTTCAATTTGGCATTAGAACATGCCATTAGGGAGGTAATGCGAACCGAGAAAGGGTTGGATCTGGGCGGGACAACATCCGTGCTGGGCTATGCTGATGATCTGGTACTGTTAAGCGAAGACGTTGAAACTATAAAACTAAATACGACAACGTTAATGAAAGCCGGTAAAGAACTAGGACTCGAAATAAACGTGGATAAAACAAAATATATGGTTAGTTGCAAAAATGGCGATACTACTGGTGATATCGATATAGATGGTAATATGTTTGAACAGGTAAATAAATTTAGGTATCTAGGTTCTACGATAACTAGAAAAAACGAAATTGAAGAAGAGATTAAGGTTAGACTGAAGGCGGGGAATGCTTGTTATTTTTCTGTGACAAAACTACTTAGTTCGCGCCTCTTGTCCCGAAACTTAAAGATTAGAATCTATAAAACAATTATCTTGCCTATAGTTCTTTATGGATGCGAAACTTGGCCGCTTACATTAAGGGATGAGCAGCGTCTTAAGGTTTTTGAAAATAAAGTATTGCGTAGAATATTCGGACCGAAGAAGGATGAGTTAACCGGAGAGTTCAGACGGTTACACAACGCCGAATTGCGTGAGCTGTATCCGGATAATATAATTGAGGTAATTTCATCGCGGCGAATCAAATGGGCTTGTAAAGTTGTTGGGCTTAGTAACGAGAGAATTCCTAAAAGGTTAATATTTGCTGTGCCGAATGGTAAGCGTCCGAGGGGTAGACCGAAGCGAAGGTGGGAAGATTGCATTAAAGCCGATCTGAAGGGACTGGGTTTGGACGGCGAACGGTGGAGGGAGGTGTGTAACAAGCGATTGGTGGTGTCGGCATCGAACCTTCGGGTTCGCTAAGCCTTATTATTATTATTATTTCACTCGTAAAATGGATGGACAAAATATCCATGGGAAAAATTCAACTTTTGTTTTGTTCAGAGTTAACGAGACCAGTACTTTTCTTGAGTCAGAACAAAACTAATTAAGCTGGAATATAAAAATATGAGTGAAGTTGGCACAATTTTGATATTTAAGGAGAAAATCGAGACCACGACGAGCTGGTTGAACTTCAATGGAAATAAACACAATCACAAATAAGATTTTTTTTACAAATTCAATAAATTCATTGAGTAAAAATTTCTTTAAATGTACTGAAAATTACACGAAATCTAAGTAACGGCAGTAAGTGACATGACTGTAACGATTGGAATCCGTCAAACAATACAGTATAAATTAATTTTTTTAATAAAACCTAAAATTGTATAACCCCATAACAATATTGTAATAACCTAACTCCCACTTATGATTAGTGTCATCCACATTTCAGAGCCAGACTTGTCTGATAGCGGGTCGGGACGAAACCTCTCTTGTTATCTAAGGTTACATCACATAACCTCCCTTCTTATCTCGTGTAAGCTTTGAGTTATTCCATTGTTTATTTTTTTCAATTTGTGTGATTTTCTTCAAATTATGGATGTTATTCTATTCTGGGAATGGCCGTCTTCAGAAGAAGAGGCTATCGAATATTTTCAAATGAAGTTGGACAGGAAGAGGAAATGGAGATGCTTTCGTACCACTTCTAACAAAAACGTTTCTATAAGGAAAGGAGAGTGGTTAGAGTGGTCGACGATTTCTTTTTGAACGGCTTTAAAATTAATTTCTGGGTGGTTCCATAATTTAACAATGATACAGTGGGCCAAAGGGCAGCTGAAACTATCCAAGGCAACTACGATAATGAGGAACAAATTTTTAAGAGAGGTTTGTGGCCATAACAGGTCAAGTAAAAACATTGGAGGGCCTGGCAAAGTCGTTGAAGTAGACACTTCTAACAGAAAAAATCATGTAGGGAGAGTTTGCCGAGAAATAGAGGAGTATTTTATTGTCAAAATAAATGACATAAAGGCAAAAACTTCATTACAAGGTATTAAAAACAACATATAAGAGGGAAGCACCATTTATTCTGACTGTTGGAAAGGATACAACACCCAACAACTGAATTAATTAACCCAACAACAATATTTCTTATTGTCTTTTTCAATTTCAAATCAAACTGTTTTGTTATTATGACATTTGTTTTTGTTTATAATTTCAATAATATGAATATAATACAGTAAACATGAATACGAATATAGGAATTATCAGTGCCTTATCAGAATTATCAATTATCAGCTTATAAACATTGGCAGAAACTAGTCGGTCCCGACCGGCTATCAGACAAGTAGCTTTGATTTATAAACTCTTATTTTAATAATAATTACAATATTAACAAAGAAAAGATATATTAATTGTTATTTGGTAAATGTCTAAAGGTGCGATTAAAATTTATCTGTGATTAGTATACAAAAATGAACTAAAAAATATGGATTTTGCCGAGGTATTTTTATACTTGATTAACCAAATTAATTATTAATCACGACTAATCTATGTATATCCTATAAGTTTACATTGAAATATTTACCTTTATAGTAAGCCTGACTGTTCAACTTGAGTCCGTATAAGTTTATAGCGTTCCAACCTAAGATCCTCGGGAGGAACTCATTGTAGAGGACGTGCTGGTAGGAAGCTACCGTTATCTTCCTTGCGGTTTGGAACAGCTTCTCATCGCCCCAATGAGGGTTCACTCCTCGCAGGCCGTCGACCAGCCTGTTGTGTTCCCTCAGGTAAATGGTGTGCATTGCCGTCAGGCCCGGCTGCTCGCTGGCTCTACCGTCCCCTGCAAAAAGTAAATTGAAACTTTATACGAATTATATATAATTATAATCATAGATGGCGAAACGACCCGTCTTCGAATATGGACTTCCACCAAGAGTCTCCACAAGTCTTCCTAGTTGCGGATGTACAGATTACGTGCATTTGCTTCCATCCTATCCTCTAGCTTCCTGTCTTCCGATTCTTCTTGTACAGTGAAGCTCCTCAAACCTTTTTATGATATTTCACTACCATCATCATTAGTCCTGCACCTCCTAGTCTTCCAATTTGTATGCGTAATCTATGCTGCTAAAAACATCCAAGATAATATATACTACGGATCCACCACTTAAAATTTTAGGATCACTCAGAAGTTACTAAGTGACAATCTCTGATACCTCAGGTAAGAAAGAGTGGAGCGGATGGAGCTTCATTAGAAATAACGCTTAGGACAGGAGAGAAATATTTCGCTAAGGAGGGGTTGGGGCTTGGAATGCTGTAGTGAATTGCAAACTACACAGTTAACCATGATTAAAATAGATATTAACTTAACAAAATATCGCACTCACCGCCAATAAAGCAATATCCAGAAGGCGCTTTACATTCCGGATGGCTGGGCGATATCGGAAGAAGGTCTTTGCCTTGGGTAGGATGCCTTGTAGCATTCATCTTACCACCGAAGCCCCTGAGTTCCCGTGCAAGGCAGGCATGTTCACCGTAAATCTGAGAGCCGTCCAAGTACGCTGTATTTTGGTTTATTTGTTCGCGTGGACCTACAAACATATTGCGTAAATTTCACTGTTCAGAACTTATAAAGTGTATGTAATATGACAAAAAATCTTACCCAGCCTATGTTGACCAGGTAGAGATCGCATAAATGGCAGGCACACCCTCTCCCCAGTACTCACATTCCTTCGTGGATAGAAGGGGTCTCCTGATGGGATCGGGATTGGCATGCACTCTGGGTGGACTGTCAACGGGGAGTCGCAGGATCTGCAGTCGGGAATGGATGCAAAGAATCCTGTAGATGAAAAAAAAAAAGATTAAATACAAATTTTACCATAAACAAAAAAATAAATAAATAAAAGCGTGAACCAAGAAATAATTTTATTTCTGGGGAAGAAAGGGAGAGAGAGAATTATCAGGGTTATCAGGAGATAAATGATTAGTTCACTATTTCATATCTTGAACTACATTATGAATCGTCGGGTGTATCCAAGTTGAATCATTATTTTTTATTTTACGGTCCGAATTCGGCCAGGGGGAGGAGGGAGGGGTTAAAATTTAAATCATGGCGGATCCTCAAAATGAATCTCGACCTTCCCACATTGGTTGGAATAGGTTTGGTTATGCTTCTAGAACAACTCCCCACCATCTGTATGTCATAAATGGTGAAGAAGAGGATATTAAAAAAAATCATGCATATACAACTATCGATTTTTCACAAAGTGAGTCAATTTTTTAACTGACCTAAAATAAAAGCAAAATTGAGCTCTGCTTCTCACATTTTTTTAATGTTTTACTAAAGCTATCTAGCCTCTGTCATGGTATTTATTTTTCGAATGCCCTCGGGCAGTGGAAGGAATTTGTTACTTGTATATATTGTATTGTTATGTAATTAAATACTATACATGTAATTTGATTAAATAAACATTTTGGGGGGTTAGAGAAAAAAAGAAAATTATTTTTCGTTATTGAAAAAATTCAAGGTTACAGACCATTTTGAGTCAATAACATCAACGTTTTTAATTTGTTTGTTTGTACTCGGTCCCTCTGGTTACGTTGAAGTCTTGAGGGAGCTCATAAATCATTAACAATAATTATAATTATTGTCAATGTTTTCATAAATTAATACTGTATCTTGATCTTACTGAACCAAAAATCCATTTCGGTCACTGTAATGACATGGTCACATTTTATCAGGTTTTTATTCGTGTTATTCGATGCCAAGTATTTTTTTTTGTTTTTTAACTGAGAATAAGGACAAAACTGATATAGAGTCGTGAAGGAGTTGTTTGTTATAAAAGATTTCAAAATGTAGTACTAAAAAGTAAATAATTTTAAAAATCTGATAACAGCATTGTGTTATGGTAATGACAAACAACAATGTACGATTTTATTTTGTAATCTTTCACTTTCGATAACAGGAAGAGATAAAACTGCTTTTCCTCTAGGCACTGTTTTGGATATGGTAATGATTATAACAAAATGGGATATGTACCCAGTACTTACTAGATATAAATCGGAAATTATTAGGTATACTATAACAACTGTTAAATAATAGTTCACTCTTTTGAGGAATTTTAAAAGGCGGGGCTACTGATTGATGAGAGAAAGAAAGAAAAATAAATTTAATTAAGAATAGGTTTCTTACTCATCATACTACTTGCAAGATTATGTTTCTTATCGAATCTCGACATAAATTAAATTATAAACAATATAGTTTATTTGTATGATTTAGTTTATAACATGATATATATATATATATATGTGTAATTTATAAATATGATTTAGATAGTGAAATCTATTACTAATAATGGATATAATATAATATATGAGTCTTTCAGTTGACAGAAGGATGAAATACAATTTCAACATTATTGATTATTAATTTTAGTGATATTTCTAGTGGGGAAATGTATACCTTTATTCACAGTTCTACATTTCAACACTGCAATCAACTACTCTGGAATCCACTTACTCACTGACTGTACAAATATTATAAATTCTCCAAATAGAAATATCATTGAAATAACTTCACTCATAAATGTTGAAATTGGAGTTTGTAATTCTGTGAACTGAAAGGCTCATATATAAATGGTGGAGAATATTAATTCATTGAAGATTATTTATCATTAGACTCGCTTCCTAAAAAAAATTAACGAAAAGAATTAAATTAAGATATTTAATTAATCACAAATACAATTTTAATGAAAAGATATTTGAAGAAAAAATTAGATCCATATGTTATAAAAACACATAATACTTGTTATATTTATAGCAATTTAGGTTATCTGTACCGAAGGCAAAGAAGCATTTTATTTTGGATAGTAATGGTAATTAAAGTGTACTGCTTCGAAGGCATATTTTTCAGAAAATAGATAAGAAACTAAAATGGAATGAACGATTTCTTGATGATATATTACTGTTAATGCCACTTCACAACTCATGTAATAATGCCAAAAACAAATTTGGAGGACTTGCTTTATTGAAGTTATGGTAAGTTTTATTTTTGTTAATTTTTTCCTCTTTGTTCATTTGTTAAACGATAAAATCCATACGATAATTGGTTTAGGTTAGTGGTATATTTTGATAATACTCCAATAAAATAGGCGACTTTCATTCTCTACAGCAGACTTAAAAAATCATTTAAAACTGCAATTCCATAGATTTTTGTTTATTAGGGACTTTTAAGGTAATGAAACTTATTGACTTAATGCGACTTAAAAAACAGTTCTCGCTAGCTATTTTAACAGTGGAATAACTAATGATAACTGCTCCCCAAGGCAAGAATTTCTTTTCGCCAATATTGTGCACCCTTCCTCTTCCCCTTATTCAGAAAAATAATAAACTTTATCTTTGCTATCTAGGTACTAATCTACTCAGCAAAATTTCTCATTGTTTTCACTAACATATAGAAAAAAGCATAATGACCCTTACCATAAACCATAAATTCTATTTATTTTTTTTTGTTGTATATATTCGTTCATGTATCATGGACCCTCTCATCTCACACAGACTATCATAGACGTTGTTCACGCTATCATATATTAATTAATTTTATTCTTTCTACGACTTTAATTCGTTTTATTAGATAACAGAACTTTCTTCCGTGTCTTTTAATAAGAGTTTTTACCATCCAAGATGTAGAGAAAATAATGGTTCACAAAATTATTTTTGAGATCTTGACATTTGAAAAAAAAATTATGATCGTTTCTTACTACTAGAAAACTTTTTATAAGCTACGAAAATATTTTCGATGAATAATAAATACATAAAACGTGAAAAGACTATAGAAAGTTTAAGCGCAAAACTTTCCTGGTTGCAATAATAAATCTTGTTTTTTTGCAAGAAGCCATTAAGTAAATTACATAAAATTAAATCACTACGTACTAGTAAAGGGTAGTTCGTGAACGAACTAGTTCAAATGAACTAGTTCACGAAAAAGGACTGGTTTTACTTTTGGTGAACTACAATTCATTGTGAACAATAGTCCCCGTGGATTATAGTTCTCGTGAACTAAAACAAAAATAAAATTTGTGGAATTGTAGGTGATTATTTAGGAAATGTAAAGATAAGGCCAAGACCTATGGTCCTTATACTGAAATAGGGATTACAAAAGGATTTGATTTTCTTGAAAATAATTTTTGTTTACCGTATTTTTAATATTAGGTAAATTAAAATACTGAAACCGAAGACATGGACATACTATTTTTGAAACACATTAATATTTCAAAGGATGAAGAAGAAATGTTTCGTTCCTTTTAGTTTTTTTAAATTCTAAATATGCACCAAAAATAGCTAATTAATTATGGGTTTTATTAAATAATATCGATTAGAAGTCAATACAGATTGTTATAACTTAAAATATCACTACTACGTACTTTGATCAATTTTCCGTCTATGAAAATAGAACATTGTGGATTTAGTTTAATTATGTACAGTTCTGGCCTTAGGGCAGGACAACCCGGTAATTGGCCGGGGAGCCGATCTGGAGGGGAGTGTCCAACATTTTATAGGAATAAAAAATAAAATTACGAAGCATATGTGAATACCAATTTTAACCTATTAAAATGTCAACTTAATTACAGACTTATTCAATCAAAAAAATTCAAATTTTTCTTTATATAAAATAGCTTGAGAAATAAATTTTTTTTTTTTAGGAGAAAGGAAGATGACGTCATTACCGGGGGCGCCAAATATAACTTGAATAAATTAAAACCGATATTAAATGATTTTTGTAGCTGTATGTTTA